CAAAATGTACTGGACCGACTGAAGTTTGACACGATCAACCCTATGTGCTCCCTGCTGTCTCACTCACACGTCATAGATCTTCATGCCCCAGTCGTCAGAGGCGGTAACGACAAGCTGGGAATCAGGAGAGAAGCAGAGAGATATGACTGGCATGGCATGGCCCTCCAGAGTGTGCAGGAGACCTCCAGTGCCCACGTCAAATACGTTGATGATTCCGTCCACCGCACCACTCGCTATCAACTTCCCATCCGGACTCTAGTGGGAGAGGGGTTAATGGGATCACATGATGTCATGTGACCCACGTAGGTGACGTGTGACTCACGATAGGTGACGCTCATGACGAATTTGCCGCGGGTGTCCAGAGAACTGGCTTTCTTTCCTTCCGATGCACTGAACAGTTTGATCTTACCGTTGTGACTACCTGTTGATATGAACCAGAGAGGGAGAGAGAGAAACAACATGCTCTCTATTATGTACTGCTTTAGAAGAAATCTTCAGGAGTTAAGAATGAAGTATGATAATGTGAACACCAATGGGACAGAATAAAGTGTCCATATTAGTGAGGTGTCCTTATTTCAGGGGTTAAAATGCATGCAAGAACTGTTCTTATAATTTAGAGAGGTGTCTTCATATCACGGGTGTCCTAAGAGAGAGGTTCCACTGTAACTCAGAGGAGGATACGAGATGTGTACCTGTGAGTCAGGGGAGAAGGTGAGTGTCCACACATCCACGGGACCTCCGTCAATACTCCTGACACATTCTCCTGTGGTGAGGTCCCATGTCCTGATACCACCATCCAGACCACTGCTGGCTCCCACTGCATCCACACACCAACAATCATCACAGACTATACTAGAGGTTTGGCAAGTGAAGAGAGAAGTTCGATTATTTGTGCGTTTCAGGTATATTTAGAATCTATGGCACATGTCACAATGTAGAAAATTGCAGCATTGAAACAACTAGGAAGGCAATGTTGTGGCTTTGTTTACCTGTTCCAGTAGGGTTGGTTGCCACAGAGATGATTCCCAATTGATGCCCCTCAAAGGTCCACTTTGGTTCCAATAGGGACCTCCCATCACCCCTGTACATAAAAATCAATGACGTAATGATCATATTGATGCTATAAATAGAAGCCCACCATGCCCACACTAGGACTGTGTTGTCGACAGAGCCAGACACAATGAGCCCCTGGTCCAGGGTCTCATTCCGAGTCCAGGCCACGCCGCACACACTGTCGGAATGGGCTGGAGACAACAGCAATCTCAGCAGCTGATAACATCACACTAACCTCTATGTAAATCTTTTTGTCTGGTCCCATAACAACTGAACTCTTCAGCCAAAGTACGGGTCCATGTTACCGCAAAGGGTGAAGGGCTTCGCGTGCAGACAAACCAAGAGTATCATCTGCGATCCCTGAGCAATCTTCTTCAGGCAAGTGAACTAAAATTCACATTCACAAACACACAATATCGCTCCCATTTTTAGCCTCTCTGTATTATTGCCCCTCGTTTGCAGAACGGGGGGATCAACTGCTAAGAACGGCAGGAACTTCTGCGAAGTTCGCGCATGCGCTTAAACCACTCAGCTACACCCACTAATTACAACCTTATTAAACGCGTGCGCTAAAACGTCACCATACACGAAATACTTGAGTACTGCTCTACGCGCGTGCGCTTGTTCATTCTACATAATGCACGCTCCGAGAACGACGACCTCCACAGCCATTGGATGGAAGCGCAGGGAATGGTGAAAAAACGAGATCTAGACCGGATATAAGGACCAAAGACTGATGAAAAGATGGATATCCGGAAGGGTGAGGATATAAATCAGCGGAATACAGCTACATAATGCGGAGAAACGTAGTACAAGGCTAATATGAGAAGATGTTTGCTCTGTTCATAGTCCTCACACAGGGTACTGCTGAGCTATGTTCATCATTACGTTATGCAGTGCATCTCTAGCAGTCTGCCCAAACCTCTCTCTCCATAGGAACTCATCCAAATAGCTTGGGAGTTGGTGGGCATGGCATCCTCGCATGCGCTTCAGTTTGGTCTTCACACGACACCAATAACTCTCCACATGTTGAGTATGGACGCCTGTCACCGGCTCTACGAAGTTGAGGGAGTGGTTTACCACACCATGTGCAGCAACATTCGGAAGGGCCTGAACTCTTCTGTATGCTGCCCACTGATCCGAATGGATTATTGTACCAGGAGCTGTGTGAGCTGCTATAATCGGGAGTAGGGTCGCTGCGTCTCTCTTTTGTACCACTTCCATGTAGCCTAATGCCGGTGTGTGGGATGTATCCACTAGCCCAAACATCCACACCTCTCTAGTTGTTGCTCTGCCACGATGGTGCTACAGTGTAATAAGCCTTTTTTAATAAATCATGCTTAATTTTCCATTTTTCTTACTTTTGGTTTGTGGCGAAAGAGGCTTTCGTCTATCTCGACCACTGTCTGCTGGCCTCCAAGTATTATTGGTGGACCATTCAAGAGGGGCTGGGAGCAGACTTCCCGCAGCCATTGGTAGATGTCAATGGCTGTATGCTCCCCGACTTCAGCCTCTTTGCAGGCATCTGTGACTGGGTATTGCCTGACCCACATGTACATTAGTATCACCCACTTCTGCAGTGGGAGTCGTGATTTCTCAAAAAAGCTAGCTTTTCTGATGCTCTTTCTTGTGTAGCATTGTGGGCAATACCAGCTAACCCCGTCGGACACATCTTCCCGTGGCCGCTCAATCATCGGAGTATTTGGACACCTACATGCATTGCAATATCTCATTTCTTCGTGACTTACATGCTGTAACTGTCTTTATTACCTTGTGCAATCCATTGTAGTTGCCAGCAAGTTATGTTGTCGAAGGTAGGCAATGTTCGCCAAGGGTTTCCACTTTAGCGCCTCTAACATATCTCTGATGATGTATAGGTGTGCAAGCACTGGCTAATGATTATGGTAGAAGTATGCACACTTAGCCTCCTCCTTGAATATTGTAAGTGAGTGGGTGGCTTTGATTGAGCGCATGCACATCAGACACAGTCAGAGTCAGAAGGAAAATGTGATATTCATGTGCTCCCTGCTTACACATACATAGGGAGAGAAATACAGAAAGAGGTTGTGACAATCCATGCTAACGTAGGACATAACACACTAAGACAAAAAGAAGTAATGAAATCCGACTGCCACAAGGATCAGAATGCCGAAAATTATCACCAGTTTCCCCAAACAGCCTTGCCCTGCAAAACATACAGAGGTGCTAGGCATAGAACATACACATTGACAGATCCCCTTTAGTGTTAGTATACATGAGTGCCCAATTATAGGCATGTGCTATGCACTATCTAAAGCCACACACTTACAGAGTGAAATTTGTGATTGTGAAGTAGTCTCACTGGATGTAATTCTATCATCATCTGAAGGAAAATTGTCAGAATAAATAATTATTGCACAGAAGCGGTACACATAATATACACATGTACCATTTTGGTTTGGGTGTGATTCCTTCCCATTAACATTTCTTCTCTTTCTCACGTCACCTACGACACATAATGATACCATTTCCTAATGCATTATGTGTAATATACAGCATAGGCTATTACCAGTTACATCTTCTTGTGTGCTTCTGCCTTGGTTTACTAAAGGTGGTACATAAAAAAGATCTATACCCACAGTTTGAAATGGTACAACTGAACTAATTGCGGATAAGGAAGTGTGCTACATATTATTATGATACACTTTTCTATTGTTCTTTTACTCTAGGCAACAAGTGATTAGTGAACTGAAAAACAACCACCCACTAAAACTGGTAGTTCCCAAGGCCAAAGCCATAGAATTCAGTCTTCTTTGTCCAATCCTATGCATCTACACCTGTGCGATAATGCGTATTGTCATCGATCCCAGCACAACTACGCCTCTAACACAGTGGAGCTCGCAGGAGGCAGCCTCTTGCTCCAGAAACAGCCAAGGAGCACGAGACATAGCTCGCAGGAGGCAGCGTCTAGCAGCTGAGGACTGAAAACCACACCCTTCTCGCTGGCATCGCACGCACGAGAGGCACACCTCCAGCAGCGGAGGACGGCTATGTGACAAACTACACTCCTCCATGTGATCACCAGTGGCTGTATATCTTTAGTTGGATCGCTCCCACTGGCCAAAGATGCTTAGCATTCATCAGCTCTGAACTCACCAGGAGTGTTGGTAGTAGTGGTGGCAGTGGTAGAGGAGGAAGAAGCTGTGGAGAGAGAGAGGGGAGGCTGGGAGGTAGGGGGAACTGCAGAAGATGAAGAGGAGAGAGAGAGCGTGGCTGATTCAGCAGCTGTAGGGAAAAAAGGAAGAAAAGCATAACGAGACTGTTGGGTGGACTAGATTCCATGGAAACAAGGAGTTGTCCTAGGCTAGGTGTAGTTGGTTTGTTTGCCTTTCGTTTTGCTTCGACCTCGTCGTTGACACACACATCACGTGGAGGTAGGGAAGACTATTTCTAAAAGAGGCTCACCAGGAGTGGTGCTAGCAGCGGAGGGGAGAGGAATAGCAGCTGTGGCAGTAGTGGAGGAGGTAGAGCAACACTCGATGACTGAGTATATAGAGAGACAGTAGAAGGCAAAAACAAACGGTCATTAATGCTCTTGAAGAGGGGACTCACCAGAACTGGAGGAGACAGGATGAGGAGCTGTGGACACTGTAGCCGCAGAGGTAGAGAGAACTGTAGAGAGTAGAGTGTATAATGAACAAAGGGTCTGCTTTGTGTCCTTACAAGTATGGGGAAGAGGACTCACCAGGAGTGTCGGTAGTGGTAGTGGAGGCAGGTGGTGGGGATAAGGAGAGATAAGGAATAGAGGCAGTTGTGGCGGAGATGGGGGAACACTCTAACACTGTAGAGGAACATGAATGAAAGAATGAATATCAAAATAGGGCACATAGAGATGCAAGGACTCACCAGGAGTGTTGGTAGTAGTGGTGGCAGTGGTAGAGGAGGCAGGGGCTGTGGAGACAGAGAGAGGAGGCTGGGAGGTGGGGGGAACTGCAGAAGAAGAACAGGAGAGAGAGGACATGGCTGACTCAGCAGCTGCAGGGGAAAAGGAAAGAGAAAAGTATAACGAGAGCCAAGGAGCACAAGATTTCTCGCATGCTTTTCCTAGCTCTTTCTATGTATGTGTAAGTTCTCATGCACTACTGCTGGAAGAGTGTCTCCCTGTACGTTTACCTTACCTCTGTCAGAAGGTGAAGTGAGTCCAAAGTGTAGCTCAAGGTCTCTGGCAAGAGAGTTCAGTTCAACATCTCTCAAAGATTGGGATCAGTTTCTTCCATGAGTGATCTTCATCTCTTCCATCCATTTTACATATATCATTCTAACAGCTTCAACTTGGTCACCACTTGCAGTATTTGCTATGGCACTGACTCTTGCCCCGGTATCATCCCTCAGTAAGAAGGCTCCAATGTCACTGAATTTCACTGCACTCTCGTTCAATATTCTGATATTTTTCTTGGATGTTGATAGTTTTATCAGGTCACGCAGCACTACTTGCCCTAGAATAGAACACAAGACACATCATCATTTAAATTTTCTCCCATGTAAATTGGTGAGTGGGAGCGAGCAAACCTAGTCATGTCAACGGCTGATTTTCCATTTCTTTCTATCCAGCGATTCCACACATACCGTAATGTTCTACGTGAGTCTAAACAACGCCAGCCC